CCATGACGATATATACATTCTTTAAATTCATGGCTAGGTATTAATAGCTCAAATTCAAATTTAACTTTACATGGTTTTACTTAATTATTTTAGTTTATACTTCTATTTTCTCTTATGCTGAAAAGCTTGGTTTCCAACAACATTAATGTAATTTGAAATTAATTCCTGATTAATTCTTACAGTGTTTCTTATTACAAATACAGGCAAATTTGTACTTATGTTCTTGTTCCTTTTGCCCTTTTCCGCAGAGGTTGCACACTACACACACTCTTTGGCGCTTTGCTTTTCAATGTAACAGTGTCTTCTGGAAATCACTCCATAGCCACACGTTGAGCTCGCCCTCATGCTTTTTGTGGTTGCCTACTTCTCCATCATGCGGAGGTACCATAGTTCATTCAGTAAGGGACTGGGTGTCGTGGTTTATTCAAGCAGGCCCCTAGTGATAGACATTTGAGTTGTTTCACATTTTTTGCTAGTACGTATAAGGCCTCAACGAATAACTTTGTGCATATGTCATTTCATATTTGTGCAGTTATGGCCTTAAAATAGATTTCTAGGAGTGGGATTCCGGGTAAACACAGCTGTGATCTTGATAGATATTGACAAATTCTCCTCCAAAAGAGTTGTATCATTTTGTATTCCCAACAACAATATATGACAGGACTTGTTTCTCCACAGCCTCACCAACAGAGTATACTGTTAAAATTTTGATTTTTGCCAATTTGCTGGGGGAGAATGGTATCCCAGTGTGGTCTTAATACATCTCTCTCTCTGTATGACGGGGATTGGGGAACTTTCCATATGTTTAAGGAACATTTGTATTTCCTTTTTTATTCGGCTCATGTGTTTTGACCTGTTCACTGTTGTTGGTCTTTTTCTTCTCGATTTCTATGAACTCTTTATGGTAAGGAGATGATGAATCATTTGGTTGCGAAATAAGTCTCGAGTATTCTTTCTGCATTTGTCATTTGTCTTTTGACCTTTACGATTATTTTAAATGCAAAAGCCTTTTAAAAAAGTCTTTGTGTAGTCAGCTTCCTCACCAAATTATATTTATTGAGTCTAGATTTTGAGGCACAGTTAAAAAGGTTTTCTCCATTTCCAGGTTTTGAAGGAACTCATCCATGTTTTCTTTTCATATTTATACAGTTTCTTTTTTTTGGCGGGGGGGGGGGGGAGATTAACCCTGAGCTAACATTTGCTGCCAATCCTCCTCTTTTTGCTGAGGAAGACTGGCCCTGAGCTAACATCTGTGCCATCTTCCTCTGCTTTATATGTGGGACTCCTGTCATAGCATGGTTTGCCAAGCAGTGCCATGTCCGCACTGGGGATCCAAACCAGTGAACCCCGGGTGCACAAAGTGGAATGTGCACACTTAACCGCTGCGCCACTGGGCCGGCCCCTATACAGTTTCATTTAAAAGTATATTTGGGTAGGGGCTGGCCCCGTGGCCGAGTGGTTAAGTTCGCGCGCTCCGCAGCAGGTGGCCCAGTGTTTCGTTGGTTCGAATCCTGGGCGCGGACATGGCACTGCTCATCAGACCACGCTGAGGCAGCGTCCCACATGCCACAACTAGAAGAACCCACAACGAAGAATACACAACTATGTACCGGGGGGCTTTGGGGAGAAAAAGGAAAAAATAAAATCTTTAAAAAAAAAAAAAAAAAAAAAAAAAAAGTATATTTGGGTAGCTGCTGATTCAATGGAGTAAAGTTTTTTTTCAAATGGCTTTTGCACATTTCTTGTCAAATTTATTGCCAAGTAAATTATCCTTTTTTGCTGCCATTGTAAATGGCATTCTCTTCCGAAATACCTCCTAACTGGTTAGTAATTGTATATAGGAAAACTATTTGTTTGTTTGTGTTAATTTTATATCCAAATTTTGCAGAATTCTATTGTTTATGGCATTTTTCCCATTGATTCACTTGAGTTTTCCATGTATGAAGCATCAATAACTAGAGATAGCTTTATATCCTTATTTCTAATTCTTAGGCCTCTACCTGCTTCTCTTACTTAATTGAATTGGCTGATACTTCTGAGAAGTTAACTAGTGGTGGAAATAGTGAGTATCCTTGTCTTATTCTTCACCTTTGTGGGAATACCTCTAATGTTTTCCCATTAAAAGAGAGATTGGCTTTGAGGCTCATGTATGCATGTGTATAATTACGTTAAGAAAGGATTTATTGATTTTTTAAAAAATCAGTCATGGGTCTGATGACTGGATAAAGAAGATATGGTATATATAGGCAATGGAACACTAGTCAGTCATAGAAAAGGATAAAATCCTCCTATTCACAACATGGATGGACCTTGAGGGTATTATGTTAAGCGAAATAAGCCAGATAGAGAAAGACAAACTCTGTATGACTCCACTCATATGTGGCATATAAACAAACACATGGACAAAGAGAACAGATTAGTGGTTACCAGGGGAAAGGGGGATGGAGGGTAGGCATGAAGGGTGAAGTCGTGTACCTATAATATGACTGACAAACGATAATGTACAACTGAAATTTCACAAGGTTGTAAACTGTCATAACCTCAATAAAAAAAACATCAGTCATGGGGATTGAATTTTCTTTTCAGCATCAAAGGAAATGACCATATGCTTTTTCTATGTAGATCTAGTATGTAATATTAATGGATTTCCCAGTATTGAATCACCCTTGTAATCCTAGAATAAATTTTACCTAGTCATTGTGTGTTTTGCTTAATACGCTATTGGGGCCTGTGTGACAATACTTTGTCTAGAATTTTTCCTCAATATTGGTAAGTAAGATCAAGATCTGATTTTCTTTAATTGTGTGCAATCTTAATCATTTTTATAACAATTTGAAATTCACTTCATAAAACTGATTTGGAAGTTCTCCTTTGTGTTCTATGTCTGTCTATTTTAAGTGACATTGAGATGATATGCTCTTTAAAGGTTTGTTATAGTCCCACTGTGAAACCGTCTAGGCCTGGCATTCTTTTTGTTGGTGGAGGGAGAGCCCTTGATGACTGAGAGCTTCTTTGAATGAATTGTTTACTTTGTGGGGGATGGAATTGGCCACCTCAAGATACGTCTCTTTGGCATGAGGATTATTTTGGGCTGGTTACTTTTAAAAACTGCAGACATGAGAGAAATCTGAAAAGTAGAATTTACTTACCCTTTGTTAAGAGACATTTACATTCATAAAGAAAATCTCCATCTGTAAAGGTGTCTCCCTCTCTGTACCAGGAAGAAGGGGGGATGACCTTATCTCTAGAAACTCTTATCAATGCGGAAGGCGAGAACTTAAGTCTGCATAAACTTACCCTTGTTTACTGCGCTTTTCTGGTAATCTCCCATAACTGACTCCTCCCACCCCCAACATCCTCCTTTGCCCTTAGCTGAGGAGGGTATTTAAGATGCGAACCTCCGCCATTTTGGGGAGTTGCTCAGTTTTCCTGAGCTTCTCCCATGTATACATGTTATAAAGCTTTGTCTAATTTTCTCCTGTTATTCTGTCTCATATGAATTTAATTTGTTGTCCAGCCAGAAGGACCCAGAGTGGGTAGAGGAAATGTCTTCCTCCCCTACAACTTGTACTTCTTTCCCAGTCCTAGTTGTCATGGATGTTGAGGGCTCTGGGTAGTAGGAAGTAGGAAGTAAGTTTCCAGAGTAGAGGATACCTCGCCCAGAGGTGGGACTAGGGGGTGGATTGATAGTATAATCTCATCTAGGAAGGGGGAGGAAATCAAGGGGAGCAATGGTGGTGGGTGGGAGGGCTCTGAAGAGAGGCTGCAGCAGAGGCTTAAGCTGAGGAGAGGTCAGCGGCTTCTTCTTCAAGACTTTTCTTCTCACTCTGCATTCCAACCTCTCCTGGGGGGTCTCTGTCCTATTTTCACAGCTGGGAAGGCAAAAGAATTTCCCATAGTCCACTGAAGTCCTTGGCAGCCTTTGTCGGGGAGGTCCTCAGAGTCACCTCATGAAGGGAGCTTGAACTAACAACAGTCAGCAACCCTACCCCCAAATTCTCCCCATTTGCATTCGCCTTGAGCCAGTTTCAGGCAACAAGCCGGGTGGCTCACAGACTTACTAAAAAGCCTCAGGTCCTAGACATTCCTTTCACGTTGAGTATTTGATTTTCTGAGGCAGCTCTCACCACGAGGGGCTTTGGAACAACCATCCACTGCTAGATGGCTCCCCTGTGAGGGGCTTGGCTATGGCAGATGGTGGCTGGGGGTGAGGGGACACAGGACAGGCTCTTCTGGGTGCCCTGAGCAGCCACGCCCCCTTCTCTCCCTTGCTTCCTGTCTCCCTGCTCCTACAGCCCTCTGTGGACCTGCAGGGGTCAGGGGCCTCCTTGCCTCCTTGGCCACAAGACAGCCCACCACCAGGAGGTGCTGGTCTACGAGGCCGAGAGTGGGAGTGCTTGCCTGAGGTCGGAGGTCAGGGCACCTGCAGCTGCAGGATGTTGCACTTGATTAGAGGCAGGGAAGAGGAGGGCGAAGACAGTTGTGAGATCCCGCAAGCTCCCCCACCGCTGCTGAGCCAGATGGAAGACTTTGGAGAGGCTGCAGCTCAAAGACACTGCTGGGATTGGTCTGCGCCCTGAGAGAACCCTAGGTCGTGTTTCCTATGTACAAGTCTCGGGCCTCATGGAAAGTGTGACTATTCTCAGCCCCCTTTGCCCGCTGTTGTGATCTCTGCATCTGACTTGAGCTGAACTTAAAAGCAGATGGGAAGGCTGGGCTGTGAAAGGCCTGGAGGGGTCTGGGGAGTGTTTTTTTAAATTTTTTTGAGGAAGATCAGCCCTGAGCTAACTACTGCCAATCCCCCTCTTTTTGCTGAGGAAGACTGGCCCTGAGCTAACATCTATGCCCATCTTCCTCTGTTTTATACATGGGATGCCTACCACAGCATGGCTTTTTGCTAAGCAGTGCCATGTCCACACCGGGGATCCCAACAGGTGAACCCTGGGCTGCTGAGAAACGGAACATGCGAACTTAACTGCTGCGCAACCAGGTGGGCCCCTGGGGAGTATTTTATGTACCAGGCTGCACTCCTTTCCCCTTCTCATGCAAATGGAATCCCTTTCCCAGGACCTACACCCATGCAGCAGCATCAAGGCTACCCAGATCTATCCAGCCCACAACCCCAAGTCAGGGGAGAAAAAATATGGTGGCTCCTTTTAGAGCTTTTAAATGGAAATGTGAGTCAGTATCTGACTGACCACCGAGGTCACCCTGTGCTGCAGGGGCTGCCGACTACCCCCAAAGGCTCAGAGTGGCCCGGGGAACTCTCAGTGCAGACCTGCTCTGCACAGCCACGCTGCTCAGCTCTGGCAGTGACCACTGCTGGCTGGGTGGCCATACCAGCGAGCCCAGTGAATACCAGAGGTAACAGGTTCTGCAGCATCTTGGGCATTACACAGATGCCCTTGAGCTTGTTAGATAAAGGCTGACAAAAACCAAGCACATTAAGACAGAGCTTAAAAACAGATTGACTAATAATAATCCAAAGACCAGTGTACCTCTAACCACATTTTTGTTTATTTTTTAATGTGTTTCCTTCAAAGTCTTTCTTGTGGCTCGCCCTACGCAGTTTACGTACTTGTTGAGAGTTTTATCTGTTGGTGACATTGTTTTCGCTGAACTCGTTTTTTCCGAGACCCTCTTTTCTCATAGGCTCAGTTTCACCACCATCTGCAGTCGGCCAGTTTCGGTGGCAGAAGAGGCCACATCTGCTTCCTGGAGGCCCCCTGGGCAGAAGCATGCAGTGGTGTCTCCTCCTGATCTGGGCGCAGGGGCTGAGGCAGGCTCCCCTCCCCGCCTCAGGTAAGGCCTGGAAGTGGAGGAGGGAGAGCAGGGAGGAGGAAGTGGGTGGCTGGGAGTGAACGTCACATTTTTCTCAGGGAAGGGAACACAGTCCTCAGAGTCCTGTGTCCCCGTGTGTGAGAAAAGGCAGTCTCTGAGAAGGAGGCCCAGTTCTGTTTGGGGCCGCAGATGAGGAACTTGGGGTTGAGTGTGCCTGATTAACCAACCCAAGAAAAGAAACCGGGAGAGAGAGGGATTAAGGAGGAGAAATGGTCAGTTTACTGTTCAGTTTACAGTTCACTCCTGCTCCATTGTCCTTTCTTCTGTCCTTGAGGAAACTTCTAGAAAAACATAGTACGTTTTCTGTGGATTAAAAATGTCTTCTTCACAGATTCCAGAGAGTCTACCATTATAGACTGAAATTATGTGAAATCTATTTCCTTCTATATTAAAAATCACAGACAAATGTTTCTGAGGGGGGCATAAATATTTAAAAACTGTGGTATAATTTAGTATTTATATTGCTTTCTGAACTATCTGAGAGTGGAGCTGTGCCCAAGGGTGCCGGGGGTGGTGAGTGCCGAGGAGGGTGATATTGCCTGGAAGAAACAGTGTTTGTCTCCAAGCCTCCTTTCTTTTTTGATTTTGTGGCTTTCCTGAAGGTTTTTCCAGGCAACCCAAATGGCAGTCAACCAAACAGCCAGGTTTTATTTCAAAGGATAATGTGCCACGCACAGAACTGGCTGCTGGGAGTACGATAAAACAGAAGTGGTGGCTGATAAGGGCTTATATCTGGAATAGGGAGACAAAAATAAAGTATATGGAAATAATCAATGAGCTCGTCATGAAGTTATATTACAGCAGAATATCCTGAGAGGGTGCAGGGCTACGTTGTGTAACAATTATAGTCTATATGGGGGAGTAACAGGATCGACTGGACAGACTATCGCTCCAAAACCCAATTCTGGCCTCAAACCCCTTGGAACTTCTATGGGAACATTCAGGGCCAGCCGTGTGTGACTCAGGACTCATGTGTGCTTTTTCCCCTCCCCTAGGAGCGGTGACAGGCAGAATAGTAACAGTGGGTAACATTTCTGCAGAGGAAGGTGACTCTGTTACCTTGCAGTGTCACCTCTCCTCCACCACCGCGGAAGTGACTCAGGTCAACTGGGAGCAGCAGGACCAACCTCTAGCTGTGTATCACCCTACCTTGGGATGGTACATCTACCCAGTCTTCAGGAAGCGAGTGGCCCCGGGCCCCAACCTGGACCTCATCCTCCAGTCGCTGACCGTGAATGACACAGGGGAGTACTTCTGCACCTATTATACCTACCCTGACGGGATTTACAAAGCGAAACTCTTTCTGGAGGTCCTGCAAAGCTCAGGTATGCCCTCTGGATCAGGGTTGCTGAGGAACCTCATCCTCTAGGACAGAAAATGCTTTCCTGCCAAACACTCCGCAGAGCAGGGCCTTTCCACATTGATTCACATTCGAATCACCTGGGAGCTTTTAAATGGTCCTGATGCTGGTGCCCCATCCCAGAACAATTCCGTCAGAATCTCTAAGGGCAGAGCCTGGATGTGATAGGTTCTAAAAGCATCCCCGGGGATGCAAATGTGCAGCCAGGATTGAGAACCACTGTCTTGGGTAAGAACCACATCTTATGTATATTTGTTAGGAAGACCAGTTGTCAAGGTCATTTGGGAAGGGTTCTCATTGATTAGTTTAGCATTGATCGTGCAAATTAGCATTAGCCCCTACATTTATCAAGGATTAGAGTACAGTGTGTGCTAAGTGTAAATGTCCAGTAACTTACATTTGTCTGGCACGTCACAGTTCCCCAAATTCTCTTACGTTCATTACCACCTGGACACTTAAACCAGTTCTCTGGAAGATGGGAAAGGCTTATTACCATATCTGAGAGATAGCACAGCAGAGAGGTGATGGGCTTAGACTGAGGCCAGACAGCCTGGGTCCAAATCCTGGCACTGCTGTTGACCTCAGACAAGATTACTTAGCATTTCTGTGCATCAGTTTTCTCATCTGTGAAATGAGGGTAGCTGTAAGACCTGACACGGTGTTAATGTAGAACTGAGTTACTCGCTGTAAGAAAATGCCCTTACAACGGCCCCTGGAACGTGGTAAGCACATAGTAAGTGTTGGCTGTGAATCCAGTTCCCGTGTGACTGTTTGATGGAGGTGGAAGCTGAAGGCTGGAGGTGCTCAGAGTGGTGGAGCTGATTTTCACACAGGCGTCCTGCTTCCCTCCGAACTTCTGTGCTGCTATAAATTGTGTCGGTGAACAAGTTTTATGAGTTAGCAAAATATGTGTGAACTGAGAAGATAAAACGTTACCTGAAAGTCTCGTTTCAAATGCTGCTTCTCAGCAGGCTCCCACACAGGCCCGTGCAGCGTGCAGTAAGAACCTTTTCTTGTTCTATGGACAGCCCTCTGCAGCCCCTCCGATGCCCTGCAGCTGTGTTCCCCAGGCCCAATTTGCTCCCCATCCGCCCTCTTTCCACCTGTGGCCAAAAAGCAGGGGACTGCTTCCTCAGGGCAGGAGGAACACTTTCTGGGGAATTTGGGCTCCCCCCTCTCCTGGTACTGTGTGGGTGCTGTGGACACTGCCCTTGTCCTAAGTGACTGCATTCCTCAGACACCTTTCTGGCAATCTAACCCCTTAGTTAGAGGGCAGAGGGCCTGGCCTCGGCTCCACCCTTCTCCTTCCAGACTTCCCTGAGCACCAGGGTTCTGCTCAAGCTCCTGGAAAGGAGCTGGGGATGGTATGAAGCACCCTGGGAACACTTCCGCCTACAGCACAGCATACATCCGGGCCATTGTCCTGTTTCTCTCACACTCTCGTTGAGTCAAACATCACTCATCTCTTCAAAACTCCCTTCCTGCCTCTTCCTGTTTCCAGTTACATTTTATGTCCTAATAGAAATTCACTTGTTCATGCTTTGGTTCCTGTCACAAATATTTAGTCAGCACCTGCTACGTGCCAGGTGCTGGGAAAACAGCCAAGGATAAAGCCTAGAACCTTCTTCCAGGGTCTCACAGCCTCACTGGAATAAGTGTAACAGGCCTAAGGTGAAAAGTTATATGATTATCTTCTTTTTTCTATTTTGATATTAATTTTACTTTAATTTTTAATTAACTTTTTTTACTAGTATGATTATAAATATGAAGTTTAATAAAAGAAAATGTTCGCTTCTGGGTTTTTTTCTGGATGTTATTATTTGTTTCATTTCACACATTACTCAAACTGGTTTTGTCGAATAGAGGGAGGGAGTGTTAAAAATGGGTCCACTCTGGTGGGAAATGTGTGAGGTACGCCCCTGTTTGAGAGATCAGCCATTGATTTCACGATGGGTCAGGCAATGGTCTGCTGTCCGGGGAGCTGGGCTTTAGGACCCCAGGCCTGGGGTGGGAGAAAGGCCTGGCCGATCCCCACCTCTGGCCCTGACGCTGAGGCTTCCCTGGGGGAATGGCTGCCCTTTGCTTCCAGCCTCTGCTCACTCACCCCTGTTTTGTCCTCCCTCTAGTGGCTGAGCACAGCGCTGGCTTCCAGATCCTGTTGGTTGGGGCCATGGCCACAGGGTTGACGGTCATCTGCATGGCAGCCATTGTGGTGGTCGTATTGGCTATAAAGGTAATGACTCTGGCTGCATCTCTCAGGCATGGGCACCACACCCCAGCCACCCTGGCACTTTCAGGTCCCCTTTCTGTCCAGAGAGAGACCTAGATGTGATCCCCCCACTGCTCTTTGTGCCTTTTGCATGTCGTTGCTCTGTCTTGTAGTGAAGTTTATGCTGTTCTCTTGTCCCCTCCCTTGTCTGGGAGCTCCTGAAAGGTTGGACATATATCCTCCCCATCTTGCTGTCGTCTATAGTTTCTAGTTCCTGCCTGTCCCTTAAGCCACTTCCCTGAGACTTTGACTTACCTACTGTGAGTCTGACGCCTCTTGGGCATCTACTCCATGCAAGAGTGTTTTGTACATCAGCTCACTTAATTTTCGCAACCCTTCAGGAGTGCTGGGCTACCCAGGGCCTTTGCAGGATGAGAAATATACACTACAGAAATTTAGGGGTAAAATGTACATGGCAACATCAGTAGGTTTTAACTCCTCTGTTACTCTAGCTTAAGAGGTCATGTGGCTGAAGCAGTCCTGGATGGGGAATTGGAAGATTTAGTCTCTAACCTTAGTACTGAGTGTGTGATTACAGGGAAGTTGTTTAATCTTCCAGGTCTCCATTTCTTTCTTTCTATTTTTTTTTTTGGTGAGGAAGATTTGCCCTGGGCTAACATCCATTGCCAATCCTTCTCTTTTTTTTTCTTTTTTTGCTTGAGGAAGATTAGCTGTGAACTAACATCCACGCCAATCTTCCTCCATTTTGTATGTGGGTTGCCTCCATAGATGGCTGATGAGTGGAGTAGGTCTGCACCTGGGATCTGAACCTGTGAACCTGGGCCCCCTGGAGTGGAGTGCATGGAACTTTAACAACTCGGGCAAGGGGCTGGCCCTTGAGTCTGCATTTCTTCATGTATAAAATGGGATTATGGTTCTGCTTGCTTTGTATCACAGAGTTGTGATGAGCAGGTGGCATATTGCATGTGAAAGCTTTGTAAACAATGAAGAAATATATCAATGTCTTTCTGTCATAGTGGTAGCTGTTGTCTGCCCTCTTACCTTTTAGGCCATCCCAGGTTGCCTTAATTCAAGTCACCAAACAAACATTCTGGGGAACGCAAGCCTGTGATTCCCAACACTGTTTTCCTCCTCATCCTAGATCTGCCTCCGTAGTTCCTGGCTCACTGTCCCTCCAACTCTGGTTCCACTCAAGTAACAACTCAACTCTGTAGCCCCGAAACTACTCTCCCTGGACTATGCACTTGGTGCTAATACTACTGAAATATGGGGCTTTACAGCTACCACCTTATTTTTTTCAGATTTGTTTTGCCTGTTTTGTTCCCCCATTCTTTCTTGCTGCCTTTTAAAAATATAATTATTTAAAAATTTTATTCATTTTTTATTGAGGTCACATTGGTTTATAACGTATACATTTCAGATGTACATCATTATATTTTGACTTCTGTATAGACTGCATTGTGTTCACCACCAAGAGTCTAGTTGCCATCTGTCACCGTACATGTGTCCCTTTACCTCTTTAGCCCTCTGCTCATCCCTTCCCCTCTGGTAACCACCAATATGGTCTCCGTATCTACGTGTTTGTGTTTTTGTTTATCTTCCACATATGAGTGAAGCCATACGGTATTTGTCTTTCACAGTCTGACTTATTTTGCTTAGCATAATACCCTCAAGGTCCATCCATGTTTCTTGCCATGATTTGAATTATGTACTTTTCATTATTAAAACGGTTCATTTGGGGTCTTGCCCGGTGGTACAGCAGTTAAGTTTGCACGTTCTGCTTCAGGTGGCCTGGGGTTCACCAGTTCGGATCCCGGGTGCGGACATGGCACCGCTCATCAAGCCATGCTGTGTAGGCGTCCCACATATAAAGTAGAGGAAGATGGGCATCGATGTTAGCTCAGGGCCAGTCTTCCTCAGCAAAAAGAGGAGGATTGGCAGATGTTAGCTCAGGGCTGATCTTCCTCCAAAAAAAAAAAAAAAACTGATTCATTTGGTAGTTATACATTTTTTTTGTTATTCTTTTAGTGGCTACACTAGAGATTACAAAATATGCTCCTGCCTTATTAAAGTCTAATATAAATTAGTACTTTTATCATTTCTTGGATTATGCAAGAACCTTAGAACACATTAACTCTTTTAATCCACCTCCCCAAACTATAGCTATTATTGCCATATATTTTAGTTCTCTGTATATTTTAAACCCCAAAAGAAATTATTCTTGTTTTGTGAATCAATATTCACTTAGATGTACCCTTTCTATTGCTCTTCACTTCTTCCTGCATGTTCTGCCTTGTAACTAAGATCATTTTCCTTCGGCCTGAAGAATATTCTTTATTATTTCATTTTGTGCAGATATGCCAGGGATGAATTATCTTGGTTTTTGTTTGTCTGAAAGTATCTTTGTTTTTCCTTAGTTTAAAAGTGATATATTTGTTTTGCTGGGTATAGAATTCTATGCTGTCTGTTACTGTCTTTTAGCACATGGAACATATGATTCCCTTGTCTCTGGCTTCCTTTATTGCTGTTGAGAAATTATGTGAGAGGTTTATTTTTGCTCCTTTAAAGCTATGCTTTTTTCTCCTGGTTCTTTTCAAAATTTCTTTCTCTGGCTTCCAGCAATTCTCCAGTGATATAATTAGATATAGTTATCTTTGTATTTATTCTGTTTGGGGTTTGGCGTGCTTTTTGAACTTGTAGCTTGATGACTTTGTCAGGTTTAGATCATTCCTGGCTATTGTCTCTTTATATATTACTTCTTCATTCTTGCTTTCCTCTCCTTCTGGAATACTAATTACAGGTATTTTCGGCATTTTCACTTTTCCCCATGTCTCTTATCCTCTTTTTTTGTATTTTCCATCCGTTTATCTCATCAAATTTTAGAGTGGATGTTTTCTTTTCACATACCTTCCAGTTGACTAAGTATCTTCTTTGATGTATCTAATCCTCTGTTAAACCCATCTATTAAGCATTTAATTTCAGTTATTGTATTTTCCAGATCTGGGGCTTCCATTTTGCTCTTTGTTTGAATAATTTACAGTCTGCCAAAATTCTCAATCTTGTCTTTGAATTCTTTGAAACTATTAATTATAGTTATTTTGAACTCTGTGCCTGATAATCCTATTAATTGGGTCAACTGTGGGTCTTTTACTATTGTCTATTTTTGCTTCTATCTTATCTTCTTGGCTATCTGGTTACTTTTCATTGAGTGCTGTGTATTCAACATGGAAAGCTTTGAGGCACTAAGTATCATTTTACTCCAGAGAGGATTCCTTTTTGCTTCTGTCACGAGATTGGTCTGGAGGCACCAGCATTCTCAAGTCACCCTAATTAAATCAGTAGTGAGAAGTTTTTTTTTTAAGATTGGCACCTGACCTAACAACTGTTGCCAATCTTTTCTTTTTTTCTTCTTCTTCTCCCTAAAGCACCCCAGTACATAGTTGTATATTCTAGTTGTGAGTGCCTCTGGTTGTGCTATGTGGGATGCCACCTCAGCATGGCCTGATGAGTGGTGCCATGTCTGCACCTGGGATCTGAACTGGTGAAATCCTGGGCTGCTGAAGCGGAGTAAGTGAACTTAACCACTCAGCCACCGGACTGGCCCCAGTAGTGAGAGGATTTAAAGCTGGATTTAATTTCTAGTGCTTCCTTGCTCATATGGTTTAGTCCTTTGGGGACCCAACCAAAAGCCCGTGGTGTCTGCCAATGTCTCCTCTCCTTGGTGGTTTCCAAACTCCAAATTTTGTCCCTCCAGCCAGAAACTCTGTGTTATCCTCCGTATCTGCCTCTTAGCCAAAACTTTCAGTCAATTGCCTCCCGGAAAAAATGTCCCTAAGTGCTCATCTCATCTCTCTGGGCTTCCTTCTTTTGGATCTTGCTCCCAAGCCCACAAATTCCTCACTATTTTGCTAGATCTCGGATCACTACAAATGGATGCTTCTAACATTTGGTTCAATTTTTCTAGTTGTTGTCAGTGGCAGGGTTGGTTCAAAGTAGCATAATCAATCATAATTCCACCACAAGCAAAACTCCTTGATGTTGTGTTTCATATGGGTATTTGAAGGTTGACTTTTACAAGCAGAGCTAATTTAGCTAGCCCATCCACTGCATACCTTGGGCTATATTGAGTCAAGACCCCCCACCCGAGTTCTAGTCCCACCATTCCTGATTCCTGACTAGGCTGTTAGCCTGCATCTGGCTGGGTCACTGCCAGTCCCAGAGAGGTGGAGGTTTAGACAGCTTTGTGTTCTTAGGCTCTGGTTCCATCTTGCTTGCTTATGGTGAGTTCTTGCCCTCTTTTTCTTTCTTTCTCTCCCAGAAATGGACCATCCTTTGATTTTCTCTTCTTTCTTATTTAATGTTTATTTGACACTTTTACTCTTGTCACTCCCCTAAAGACCATAGAGAGCTCTTTCCCTCTCCAGGCCTCAGAGTTGGGGTGAATCGCACAAACTAAAATTGCTTAATAAGAAAGTGCCATTATAATGTTTTTTCTGCTTAGACCTCATGGCATTTGGCATTTTAAACAATCAGAATTCTTTATGCCTGCCTTGACTCCTTTGTGTATATTTTCCTACTGTTAGTTCAGCCTATGGAGTTACACTTTTTCTGCACATTCATGTATATTATCAGTGACCAATCTTGAACTTTTAGCCTAATATTTTACATCTTAAGTTCTCCTAGTTTTCTGTGTAGATAAACCTATTTTATTTTCATTAACTACCATCACTAACAAGGGTAGTGATGTAATAAGAACATGTTCCATTTGACACACATTCTATCTTCAGCCAGATCTACAAATGAAGAGAGTCCAAGAACTCTTACTCTAACCTTATTTCACTGAGAACAGTTTGGAGTGAGGATGGGGAAAGGTATTTTGGTAGCAGAGCCAAAGTCATGTTCCCTTCTGTGAGTTACAAATTGCCCAGGTCTTCCCCAGTTATGGGTCTAAAAGTTCTTGAGGCACCTGTTGAATCTTGCTAATATGGTCCAGAGATAATTAA